GTAGTGTTTGTGTGTATAGCATTGTGTTTATATGGAAGACAAGGAGCAGGGCTGAGGGTCAGAGAGGCTTCCTGCCAGCCCACGTTTATATTTATTGAATGCTTCAAGCAGGCAGTCAACATCTGGTAGAAGACGCTTTGTTTGCCTTCATGTCCCTAATTAAGTAAACAGCATACCAGTGTCTCAGCAAGACACACACCTTCGTTAGTTCAGGGGTTCTTAGAAATTGCGCAACATTGCGTTCTCGCTGACCTACTGGAGGGACCACAGTGCTCCCCTGTAGACTCTGTAGCAGCTCCCTCCTGAGAAGGGTAAATAACCCAGAGGGATCAGGGTCGGGGCATTTCTGTGGAGAAGGTTGGGATGAAGCTCGCTTTTGGTTAGGGACAGGGTTAATTTGGGTTACTCGCAGATGAAAACGGCTCTGGATGCAAAGAAAACCAATTTTGGACTGCGCCCGAAGTAGTAATCCCAGATTTAAAATTTTCATAACAGCATCCCAGTGTGACTTTTAATCTGCAGCATTTCACTTGTGATTGCCTGACAGTTTTTTTTTTTTTTCACATGTAGATACAATAGCAGCAGCAGTCGAATGTGTATGAGATCATTACTGCAGAAACTTGATAATTATTTTCATTCTATTTTTTGTTATTTTGAGATTTGTAGTAAAATTCTCAAAATGTGTTCCATCACGAACTCCTTTTTTTCCAACTCAGTTTCAAGCAGAAACATAAATCTCAAGTGGAACAAAAATGTTGTGTTCCTTTGTACAGCCTTTCAAACCGTTTCATATTGTTAGAAGAATCCTTGAAGCAAGCTGAATTACTGTGAAAACAGGTGTGATATTCACACTTTGCCAATCACTTCTTAAGAGACTTCATAGCACTGGATTTGATGACTTCATATGATAGGAATTTGTCTGTTTTAATGCCACACTGAATGTGATGAAGGTTCGAATTGATACTCTCATTCTTTCCTCCTCTTTTCTTTGGCTTCCTCTCTGTCCCCTACATCCCTCTTAGGTACGAGTTGTTATTGTCGATGAAAATGACTGCGTTCCAGAGTTCCTCCAGTCGATTTACAGCAAGGATGGTGTACCAGAGACTGTTACAACAGCTACCTCCTTGTTACAAGGTGAGACATCCACACCAATCTGAAGACCTACTTTGTGTCATCACTGAGTGCATTCTTTTTGACTTTATGTAGTTCACAGCATAACACATGGTCTTTGTTGACTTGTTCTCAAACATTCAGAAATGATTCTACTATTGAACTACACAAATGAAAAACTCCAACACAGTTCTGAAAATGTTCTCAGGCATTCTTGATAAAGATTATGCCTGCAAAGCTATTAATGCAATAATGCTGCCTTAGTGTTATTTTTCCAAACTGGGCTGACTTAGTAACCCTGCCCCCACCTACCTAACCCCCCAAAATTCCTGTGAATCACAAGAGGAGTTGTATTTTATCAATGTTCGTAAAGAAAAAAAGGAAAAAAAGAAATGGTTATAAAGAAAAAAATTAACAAAAAATAAAAAATATCACATTTTACCTTATGTGGAAAAAAAAAGCAAAACATGAAAGTACAACTAAGGAAGATGCTGCTCAGTGGGCAAATGTGTGCCCCTGTGGGGTCGGTATGCCATGCAGATGTTTGAGAAGGCCTGCTGTAGTGGCTCAGAACAAAATAAGAGTGGCTGAGGTTTTTTTTTTTTTTTTTAGCATTCATGTGTTTTGGCTGGTCAGGAAACGGAGTAGGTACTTGTCAGAACTGGCATCCGTGAAATCACCGACGCTTCCATCAGTGCTGCTGCTCTAGCCTCTCCTTTCCTGTAACAACCCAATTTCCACACCAGGATCGCTTAAGTTTCATCTAACGTGAAGAAATGGTAATGGTAACTGTTGTGGGTATGACTTATCACAATTTGATCTGTCACAGTGTGACTTATCACTGAGATGCACAATCCTTTTTTTTTTTTTTAGGTTTTGACAGTCTGTCAACACAACTGACAGTAAAGCATTTCATGCTTCTCTTTCCCTCTACACTCACAAAGTCTACTGTAGTACACATGTGCCTTAATATCATAAAGTGTGATTATTAGTGCAAATGGTGGGACTAACAAGCAATATGTGCAGTTTTAAAGCAGTTCAGGATCATTCTGTTTTTTTTACAGCTCAAAAGTAGGGGGTGATGTCTAAAATTTAATAACAGGTAACCTTACAGCTTACTGCAGGCTGCAAATCATAATGCCAGCAGAGCTGCAAATGAGTATTGACAAGAACAAAACGCATGAAAATATAACATTGTCTCCAGCATGTAAATTATTAATGACTTCAGTTATGACACCTCACTGGAAATGCTTGTTAGCTTTGACTCTAGGGAGAATAAAAAAAATATTTTGGATTCACATTGTATTACAATGCCTTGTTTTTCTCACACTCGTGCGGTGTTCTTGCTGAAATGTATTATCATCGTGGCCGTCCTACTCACCACTATCATTACCATCATTAGTCAAGTATGCTGTTTGATAATAGGAAACAATATCTGCATGCACTGACAAACACACAACAAATAATAGAACACCTGTTACCTCTAAAAAAAACCCATCTAAAACTGACTGTACATGACTCTACACTGGACTTGCACATACTAAAGATAATTATGTAAAACACAGTGAGGTTGTGCAAAATACATTTATTGACTGTTATTTTGTTTTGTTTAACCCTCTGCGTCTTTGCTCCTGTCATATTTTTACTCACTGTGGGCTTTTACTGCAAGTTCAGAATCTTTATGGAAACAGCACACCCATGGCTAGACATAGGACAAACTCAAAAATATTTTTGTACAATATATGAAGTTATCATGCCATAAAAAAAGAAAAGTTACATTTCTATGATGATATATTTTCCAAAAAGAAAAAAAAAAAACAAAACATCTACTACTTACATTTTAATCTGTCTCTATACTGTACAAACATAGTGTTCACCCCAGATCAGCCAAAAAGTCCCGTCATATTTTTATTTTTATTTTTTTTGGGGGGGGGATTTCTTAAGTAAGTAAGACATGTAGAAAGTATGATTGGAATAAAAGATCACAGTTTAAGCTTAGACCTTAGTCAACGCTAAGAAATTTTTAAAAATTTTTTCCCCCCCTGTCGTCTTCTTTAAGTTGTTCCATAGCAATTTGTATTTGGCGTAGTTCACCAAAAATACTTTTTGTGTTTTTTCCCCCCGTCCATTATCATGTGATTTGATAGAAGGGAAGCGTTACAGCCCGACTCTTTGACTGCAACAACAAATTGGAGAACAGACGAGGTAGAGTGCCAAAGAACATATTTTTATTATAGAAATAAAGTTTAAAGATAAATGCACATCAGGATCAGTAGTCAGACTTGTATGTCCGTGTGAGTGTGTGGATGCGCAAAGCAAAACAAAACAGCTGCGCCGCGAGGCCGGCATGTATAGCACAGGTGAGCAGGTGGAGTCAGAGAAATCAAGGGGAAGGAGAGGGTATTTAACTACACAGGCAACCAATCACCTCGATGACGACCTTACCTTGATTGAAGCCGGAAAAGAGAAAAGAAAGGAAAGCAGGCGAGCACCCACCTAGGGGCATGGAGGGGTCGTCACAGAAGTGAGAGAAGGGAAGTTTTCCCATGAGTTGGTTTTCTTTGATAGAAATATTAGCGAGATTTAGAAGCAATAAGGCTCAGACTAAACCTTCAACCCTGTCAGAGGTGCTGAGCACTGTGGAGCAAGGTTTCATTAGGATATCTCTTTACGTTGCTCATTCAGCTTTCTCTCAAACACCCCCAGAGCATGATGCTGCCGCCACCATGGTTTACTGTTGGGAGAATGTTGGACTGGTGGTGAGCAGTGTCAGGTTTCCACCAGACGCTATGCCTATAGAGCTGAGGCCAACCAATTCTATGTTGGCTTGGATCAAAGAAACACATACTTACATTCTGAGAGACCTTCAGCGATGTATTCATTTTATTTTATTTATTTTTTGTAAACTCCATCAGTCCTTTAGGTGTTTTACACTGAGGAGAGGCTTCCATCTGGCGACTTTGCCATAAAACCCAGATCAGTGGATTGCTGCACGGATGGTTTTCCTTTTGGGAGTTTCTACTCTCTCCACATGGCAGCTGTGGAAGTCAGCCAGAGTAACCATTTGACTCTTGATCACCTCTATATATATATTTCTATGTGGATATATTTTTTTAACTCGGTTGTTGTTGGTCATGGGTTTGTGCTTTGTCAATATTGCAATTGACAGAGTGAGAGAAGATGAGTCTTTTGCATCCTGTTACAGCATGCAGTAGCATTTAAGTACATGACAAAGATGTGCTTTATTTGAATTAAATACTGAAAAACATCTGTGGCAGCTGAAACAATTATCAGACGGCTCTCACCAGGCTCACAACAAGCATACAGTGAAAAGATATGTTGCACTGCATGATGAATACTTCATCAACAGAGACTGTGTGCACATAGACGCCTGGTTATGTTTTAAAATTGGCGAGCAAACTTAGAAAGATACATAATTGGAGGGAGCTCTGGGGAGCTTCCCTCAGACAACAATGTTAAAACAATTGTTTTCAACAAATGAATTTTTACACAACCTAACCTCTTGGATTAAGTCAAGAAACAGCCACCTGGGAATAGTGAGAAAGCATCAGAGCAACAGAGAGACATTGTAACCATAGTAAGTCACTCTAACTACTTTCTCATAAGCGCAGGGAGAGAGGAGGAGATGTTTGCTGCTGCCAGAGGACCTGCTGACTGAGATTACTCTAAGCAGCATGCATGGGAAAAAATAGCAATATTTGTGGATATTCTTGCTTTCCCGCTGATTGATTTGAATAACTTGGTGTTGCACGGTGCTGCTGTGCTGTGCTGCTTACTCTGTCATGGCTGTACGTGCACTGTCAGTTTTTTTTTTTTTGCCCTGCAACATTATCAGTCCTAAATTTGTTTTCCACTGTGTGAGACGATGGACATATAAGAGATTTATTGCAAGATCTGGCAGCTCTATTAATAGCCACATTGCATTTAAAAAGCCCACTTGGATTTGGTTTCTTGGTGAAGGTTCCATCTCCAGGACCAAAAACTGTCTGATCAGCATGCTAACTTTAGCTGGGTGGGGAAGCAATGTAAGCTGAGGATGACTTGCAAAACAGTTCAGCACTAAGTCAGTAGTACTATCCTAGTTGGAGTTAATTTAAAGTTTGGTTGGAGTCAGTGGGCCAAGCAGGTTCATTCAAGATATGCTGGTCTAGTCTATGTGTTGTTTTCAGTCAATTACAGCAGTTCAGCTAAATGGCATGTTTGTCTCCTTCGTAAACAGGATTGACAAACTGTAACTGACAGCCAGAGCATGGTGTGGCAAACAATCAGCAACAGGTTCCACTGAACCAACATAAAGGGCGTTCCAAGAATGGGATATTTTTAACACTTGTTATTGTCGCTTACTGGGACTGTATGATGATCCGTTTATTTTTAAAAATACAGAAATGGGAGAATCAGTCTTCGGTGCTTTGTCTTGTTCCTCAAGTCATTCCTGAGCAGTGTGGCATTCTGCATTGTCCTGCTGGGGGGACGCCACTGCTTTTGGGGAGTGTTGTTCCATGTGGGGTTGTGTTTGGTTTCTAACAATGTTTAATTGTGTGGTGTGTGTCACCGTCTACATGAATACCAGGACCCAATGTGTCCCAGCAGAACATCTCTGTGTGTGTGTGTGTGATAATCTATTCATTACTAACACAGAAAAATAGATTTTTCAGTAACATCAGTCAGTTTAATGGAACTGCATGAGTAGAACTACAGCAAGTATGTTCTGTACAGTACCTTGGATTTTTAAATACAATGCAAGAATCTCCCAAATTAACAATAAAAATGCTAATAAATGCTGGCATGTGAGTGGGTGAATGTGGAAGAAAGTAAAAGTAAAGGTGCACAGTGTGGGAGGCACAGCAGGTCCTCTGCTTGCTGCCATCAACAGGTGCACCAAGGGAGGCGAGAAGTTTCCCCTGCTGTGCTGCTGCGTGTGGCCCACCCATGTGCCTGCATGTTTGTGCATATTGAAAGGGTGAGGTGGGATTGGGGGGCTGTCAGTGAATCTTTTTTGTTTT